AGAATGGGAAGAAAAGAATAGCAAGTAATAAAGTGGATATTAAAGATGATAGAACAGAGTTAAATAAAACTCTGCATATATACAGTAAATAGATTAATTGTAGATTCTGCAGTATTGTGTAGCATTGCTGTTATTCAGAAAAATCAGTTCAGTCAGTTAATGTTACTATTAATTAGATGACAATAACCATATGCAAACACCTCACCATGGCTGAGTTTCTTCCATTCAAACAATTCTAGCTTACTACATACTGTACATATTATTCCTGTGAAAGCAAAGCTGAATTTTCAGCAGCCAATTAAATATTGCTTAATATTTTTGTGTACACCATGACATTTTTCAGGATTCTTTTTTATGAACAGAAAGTTCAAAACAACAGCATTTATTCAATTTTTTTGTAACATGACAAATGTCTGTACTGACACTTTTGATAATTTTATCATCTTTGCTGAATAAAAGTATTATTATAATTTTTTTTTTATCTTACTGACCCCAAACATTTGAACAGCAGAGTAAGCAGGTTATCTGTGTATTATGTGAATGGCCGTATGCATAAAACTGCTGTGCACAGAATATATATTATATTCTGCAGAGTAGTATGGCATTCTGAACATAGCCATTCAACAGAAAGCTCCAAATGTGCACTAAACACTTTTTCACCCAGTGCTCTGATTGTAATTCAGTGCCACTGTTGAAATTTTCCTCATTCAATTTCCACACCAGTACAACCTCTGAGACCAACCTCTGAGCAACCTCTATCAAACTTTAACAAGGCGTTCACCTTTACAAAACTTTGCTTCAAATAAAAGTTTCTTTGATTCAGGTAAATTGCATAGCTGAACTACTTTTTTAAGGTGAATTTATAAAATCAACATAATTGATTCATGTGTTGAAACTGCAAACTATTATTCATTTTTACAATACACAGCCTTCTTTGCCTCACGCCTAATCCATTTGGTAGAAATAATGGGGCATACAGTTTTGTTACAGAAACTCTCTTACACACTGTCAGAAAAAAAATGTGCAAATATTGTACCTTTAGGGGTACAGCAGCTTGTCACTGGGGCAGTACCTTCTTTACCCCTAAAGGGTGCATATTAGTACCTTAGAGTAAGGTAAGTACAGAAAGGAGTACAGGGAGTGCAGAAAGACATTTAACTTTTATTTATTTTTTACACAGTCCTGATTAAACTATTGAACATATAGTAGCAGATATGTTTACATTTATTCCATGAGACAAAATTACTAAATTTACATACATTATTGAAGTTTACATACCCTTAGATAATATCATGCATAGCCTTCTTGTGCATCCATGACTGTTTATACAGCTTTTTGTGAATTGTGTCTGGTTTGTCTTAAGCAGAAAAGCTGATTCTTGACCAAAAGCCTCCAGGCACTGTGATTTCTTCAGTTTCCTTGCTCTGCGCATTTGAAATCTTCCCAGTTTGTAAATATATCTCACGAAAGCTTGCAAACAGTAACTGATGGTCAAGAATGCAATATTTTGTTCATGTATGTAAACTTTTAAAAAGAATGTGTACTTTTTGGGGGGGCGGTTATACTGTGCGTAAAGGAAAAGTTCACAAAAAAATGAAAATGTATTATTTACTTAAAAAATTGATTTATTTTTATTTGTGTGTGTGTAGACCAGAAATTTAATACATTTTTTACCATAATCTTCCACTCCAGTCCTCATTCACTTTAATTATATTGAAAAGAGTGGCTTCGTCTTTTGTCAAGTCATACATGTTCAGAACAACATGGGGGTGAGTAAAAGATGACAGAAATTTATTTGTACATAATACACATCTGAAAGATACTGCAGAGGGTATGTAAATATATGAGAAAATAAATTAACACTAATAAAAATAATTGAATATAAAGAACACAAAGAAATTAATATATGAGGATGAACACGACAGGATGGTCCTAATCATATATTCAGTACTGCCACTGAAAGCTATTACTGTTGATCAAGATGGTCAGAACTAATCACACTGAATCACCCGAAGGGCCCACACTGTGACTGGATTGTCAAAATAATACCCCCAGTGCTGAGC